TGGAGAAGTTAATTTCCAAGGAGGTGCTGGTTTAAACCATGAAGGTGGGTGAGAACTTTGGGAAAACTGTAGAGAGAAAAGTAAATGGGTGAGGAGCGAATGTTCATGTTTATGAGATGGGAGAAGGAAAAAGCCAGAGAAGAAAGAGACAAGACCAGCCAAAAAGGTAGGAGAACTGGTGGAATCACAGAAGCCAAAAGAAAAGAGTTTGCTAAAGAAGATGATGATAGAAGTTTTGGCTGTAGATAGGTCAGATGAGAAGATAGGAAGCAAAGACAAAAATTGGTTGTGTGTCATGGAGTCGCTTCCAACTCATGATGACCCTGGATAGGGTTTCTGAGGCTGTGGATTTTTACGGGAGCAGAAAGCCTCATCTTTCTCCCACAGAACAGCTGGTAGTTTCTAACTGCTGACCTTGAGGTAAGCAGCTAACTCATAACTACTATGCTCCCAGAGCTCCTGTTGTTGTCATTAAGTGCCGTCAAATTGGCTCAGATTCATAGCAACCCTGTATAGGGTTTCCAAGGAGTGGTTAGTGGGTTTGAACCACCAGTTTGGTGGTTAATAGCCCAGTGCTTAACCTAATTGCCATACCAGACAATAACAACGGTGATGAAAATGTTTGTTAAAAGGCTCTAAGTTGATTTTTTAATTGGGGGACGCTTTATATTTATTTTTCTTTACATTAAAAAAGTAAAATATTTAAAAGTTAATAGAGAATAATGTGTTATTGTTAGGTGCCATCAAGTCAGTTCTGACCCATAGTGACCCTAAGTACAACAAAATGAAACACCGTCTGATCTGGTGCCATTCTCACAATTGCTGCTACGCTTGACCCCATTGTTGCTGCTACTGTGCCAATCCATCTTGTTAGGGGTCTAATATCCATCTCTAGGGACTGATCCCTCCTGATAATATGTTCAAAGTATGAGAGACAAAGTCTGGCCATCTTGGTTTCTAAGGAGTATTCTGGTTGTACTTCTTCCAACACAGATGTGTTTGTTCTTCTGGCAGGCCATGGTACCTTAATATTCTTCAACACCATATCTCAAATGCATCACTTCTTCTATGGTCTTTCTTATTCATTGTCCAACTTTCACATGCATATGAGGCTATTGGGTTAGGTACATCTTAGTCCTCATGAGGTCTTGTGTAGCAGATATGCCTAAGGTAGTATGTTGTTGATTTCTAGCTTTTATGAGTTAGTTAATGGTGGATCCAAGCAAAATGAAGTCTTTGACAACTTCATCTTACCTATCTATAGTCAACTCTACTTTGGCAGCTCTTCCTCAGTCATATTTTAAGTGCCTTCCAACCTGAGGGGCTCATCTTCTGGCAATATATCAGATAGTATTCTGGTGCTAACTGGCAGTGTTTCATTGGTATTCATAAGGTTTTCAGTGGCTAAACATTTGGAAGTAGTTTACTTCTCCTTTGAAATATATCTTAGTCTGGAAGCTCAGTTGAAACCTGTCCACCATGGGTCATCCTGTTGGTACTTGAAATAGCAGTGCTAAATTTTCCAACATCACTGTCACATACAAGCCACCACAGTGCGACAAACTAACAGAAAAATACCAATGTCTTTTAGTCATTCTAGGCTCACTCCTGTGAGGTCAGCATTGTAGTCTACTAGCCACTCTGCGTGAGAAAGATGTGACTTTCCGCTCCCATAAAGATTTATAGCCTCTGAAACCCTATACAGGATCACTATGAGCAGTACTATGGGTTAATGCGCTGGACTGCAAGGTTGGTTTGAACCACAAGGTCGGCAGTGCAAACTCACCAGTTGCTCCTTGGAAACCCTATACAAGGTCGCTATGAGTTGGAAGTGACACAATGACACTTAACAGCAATATATCTGTGTTGGGAGTCCTGGTGTGGCACTGTAGGGTAAACACTGGACTGCTAACTACAGGGTTGGTGGTTCAAACCCACCACTTGCTCCTTGGAAACCCTATACAAGGTCGCTATGAGTTGGAACTGATTCGACAGCACTTAACAACAACAACAAAGATCTGGGTTGAATTCTGGATGGTGTCATGTATGTTAGTCTCAAGTTGTTCTCTGCTATTGGTTCTCTACAGAACTCCTTTTGGCGTTTTTTATTGTAAGATTGGTCTGTTTTTTATTTGTTTGTTTTTTACAAAATCTTTTAATTTCTGTTTGTCTGAAAATGACCTAATTTCACTATCATATTTGATGGACAGTTTTGCTGGATAGATAATTCTTGGTTGGCATTTTTTTTTCTTTCAGAGTTGCATATATTTCGTTCCATTGTCTTCTTGCTTGCATAATTTTCTTCTTTGTAGGTAACTTTTTGTTTTTCTGAGCTGCTCCCAGGATTCTTTCCATGTCTTTGTTTTGAAATTTTTGCTTATAATTTGTCTTGGTGTTTTTCCTTTGGGGTCTCCCTTGTTTGGAATTTGTTCAATTTCTTGAATGGCTATATTCTCATATTTCATCATGTTAGGGAAATTTTCTTCCAACATCACTTAGACAATGTTCTCTATTGTTTTTTCCTGTTCTTGAATTCCTATCAGGCATAAGTTATTCCTCTTGATAGTGTCCACACAAATCTTAGGCTTTCTTTGGATTTTTTGTTCTTTTTTCTGATTGTTCCTCTAGCAGTTGAATATTGAGAGATTTTTCTTCAAACTCAGTAATTTGACTTTCCATTGATTCAATTCTATTTCTTAGCCCATTCAGTTTATTATTGGTTTCTGAAGTCTTCTGGCTTTATAATTGCAATTTTTGTATGGCTCCCAGTTTTCCAATTATTTTGTCAGTTTATTTCAAGAATTTTTGCTTAATTTTGCCTATGTTTTCCTTAATTTCATTAGTAGTTTTCTAGATCTTTCTCACAATCTTTTGAAGTCATCTAGTTAGCATTATTTTAAATTCCTTACCAGGTAGTTCCAATACTATTTCTGGTATTATATTTTCTGACTCTCTAGTCTGGTGACTTGTTTGAGGCACTCTGTCTTGTTGTTTTGTGTAAGTGGAAATTGTTTCTCAGAGATATTGTGGTATTGTTGTTTTATTTAGTAGACTGTGGTATATTGGTGAATTTCCAGGCACTCACCACCTGTTTCCTGGTGGATGTAGTAGAGACTGGAAATGATCACAGTTCTCTGTTTGTGTAGCTTAGTTCAGTGTGCATTCACATGCCTCCAGAAGCAGGGATGCTATGCCAGGCCGAGTAGAGGCTTCACGGAAGAGGGAGCTATTGGATGCTTGATTGCCAAGAGCTGAAACTGGCCATGCCACCAGGAGGAGAACTGCACCCCCTTGCTACCAACCTCCAGCTTTGTCCTGTGCCCACAGGCCTCTGTATCAATAGTCACTTGCAAAAGCTCAAGGTGACCACACTATATCATGCCAGTCCACAGTCTGCCAAGTTTTCCTCTCTCTCACTGTCCTGTTCAGCTTCTTCTTCCAGTCAGCACCCAATCTACCTTTCTGTCCTATCCTTTGATGCTCAGGGTTCCAGGAACACCATCTGTCTTTGTTTCACTTGGTTTTTGTTACAGAGGGTCAGCTCAGCGCTTCTGCTTACCCCGCCATCTTGCCCAGGTGGCTCATGTTGTTATTTCTTTTTGTTTTTCCCCAAGTTTTTCAAGGTTGTTTTTGGGTTTTTTTTCAAGTGAATTAAGTGATAGTTTACATGGGAGAACATTAGCTTTACAGTCATCCTATTGTATTTCATTTCATTGCAATGATTACAATCCCTTCCATGTATCATCAAACAGCCAAAGGAAACACCCTGCAAGCCTGCCCCCAGGCTGTCAACACACAGACCCTCTCTCTCCCTGAGTCCAGAGTCCCCATCTGCTCCATCTCTCCACGTCATTGTTTCTGCCTCCATCTCTGGCATTACTGCTTTTCTGGATAGAGTCCCGCACTCTGCTCTTCTCCGTTGATGGTTCTCTGCTCCCAGACTGTAAAATCAACCACTCCCCTCCTTGTGTTACAAAATGTCTACCTGTACATTTCTAACACTCACAGTCAGTCCTGATAGCAATTATTAACTATTGAGCCACAAGAGCCTTATCCTCTTCTCCTTTCATCAGCCCCAACCAGACAGGTTGGAAACCAGTCAGTAGAGATTCTACCTTCCCCCACACCCTCTGGAACTAGGCTCCCTCTTGAAAACGTGTAAGCCAGTCACTTCTTGCCTTTTGTAGCTCCCTCATTTTGGGTAACCAATGTCTAAATTGCCCATCCCTGTCAACCTTGTGTACCGAGGGTGTGAGAATGATCCTTGCTGTAAAGATTTGTTCCCTCTTCTTAGCTATCACATCCATAGATATAGGTCAGGTTCATCAAATTGTAGTTGATTACTCTTTTTTTCCCTCCTCTAGTCGAGTTCTGATCATCCAGCCATTGAAACCAAGTCAAGTGGGTACTCTCTGCAACTATGGGGTGTTCTTGTGCATCTCCCCTCACTTCATGCCAGCTGGATGCTTCACTCTTTGCTCTAGTCCTCTGTGGCCATGTCCCTGTCTCTGGGCCCAGGAGTCCCCAGGCCTTGCCATACTGCTGGCCAACCAGGTCTCAATCCAGGTTGACAGGAGTCTATTGAACGTGGTCAGATTTCGCTCACAACTTTACTGCTGTTTTTCCCCCACTTTCCCTTATCGGTAACCAATGTGATCACAGCAAGACCTTTGTCTGCTTTGACTGGCATTGGTTAGTGAGTAGCATTAGAAAAGTTGCTTCATCTCTCTCTGACTCCGTTCCCTTCAATAAAAATGGGATGACTACCTAAATCAGATTTTCAAAATTAAAGACAGAATGAGATTATCTTTGTGTGCATGCTTTGAGGGAAGACACCATCTGCTAGTAGTAGTATGGGAAATGAATGAAAAGTGGGAAGGATTCTCCCCAAGGAGAGTGCCTATCCAGCCTATCCAAGACCTAAAATATCCTTCTCTAACTCCAACTGTCCACCGTGTGCACTGTCCTGCTTGGTGGCATCAAAGTTATCAGGACCTTACCTGTAACTGAAATGGAGATAAAATGGCCCTGAAGCCAGATATCTGGCTCCTGGCTTCTGGCACCACATTGGTAGGTTCCACTGTTTGACAGAGTGACAGGATTTATGGTGAACACCAACTGAGATGTCGTTTCATTGGCACCATCTGTCCTAGGAGCCATTTCCAGTTTCAGCTGCTTCACGCTGGTCTCAGGGGAACAGTCCTTACTCCTGTTCTTGCACACGAATATTACAAGCCCTTTAACCTCTTTCTGATGCTGTACAGTACAGGTTAAATTTAGTTGCTGTTCTTTCTGGGAAGTTGAGCTGGAGATTTGTATGCATCCTAGAATAGGAAAGGAAAAATATGCTATGGGAGGCCAATAAAGTCTCTTGAATTCCACCATTGTTGTTATTGGTAAGTGCAGTTGAGTCGGTTCTAACCCACAATGACCCTGTATAGAGTTTCCAAGGAACAACTGGTAAGTTTGAACCACTGACCTTGCAGTTCAAACGTCTTTGCTGTCCTGTGCATTAACCCACAGTACCACACTAGGACTCCAATATATATATACATTGCTGTTGTTAAATGTCTTCAAGACAGTTTTGACTCATAATGACCCTGTATAGGGTTTCCAAGGAGCAGCTGGTGAGCTTGAACCACCAAACTTACGGTTCAAATCCCACCATATCCCACCATAGCTATTCCCTATTCTAGGAAGAAATGAAGCATTACCTGGTAGCAACCCTAGCAGGTGGGAAACTCAAGTTCTAACTCTGCCTCTGCCTGTGTTTTGGTACACAAATTAACTCCTTTGAGCAGTATTCATATGGAAAATGAGAGGAAAAAGGACTACATAAACTCAGAGATTTCATTCATTCATAGATTTGTTCATTTGTACCTTCAACAGTTTTTACTACATGTTCACTCTGACAAGCATATAAGAACCTGAAAGAATTGTAGATTGATTTTCACATGTCAAGGCTTTGTGACACATACGAGGACAAGTCAAAAAGTATTGCTATGAATCATAGAACCTTTTCTTAAACAGAAATATAACAAATGTGAAAGCTATTGTTTCTTGACACATCTTCATTATAGGTTTATACACTCTTGAAGGCAGAGTCCTGCAAGGTCAGCAGTTCAAGCTCACCAGCTGCTCCTTGGAAACTGTATGCAGGGTCGCTGTGGGTCGGAACCGACTCAACGGCATTTAACAATAACAACAACCCCTTTCCTGAAGAATTCTGCACTCTCTGATTTACACCATGTGAAAATGGCAGTTTGGGCATCTTTGGGGGACCCAAACTGCGTTCCTTTGAAATCTTCTTTGAGTATATTCTTGGAGTTTTGGGAACAAAAAGAAGCCTGAAGGGGCAAGATCAGTGCTGTAGGTTGAATGGATTAAAGTTTCCCAATGAAATTGTTGTAGGACAGTGCTTGTTACCCTCAAAAAGTGAGCAGGTACATTGTCTTGATGTGAAAAAATTTCTTGGTGCAGTTTTTCTGGTGTTTTCCTCACCAATTCAGTTTTTTTAAAACTAATTCCTGATATGTCTCTGTAATCATTTGAGGCCCATAGAAAACATCTATCAAGATTACCCATTCAGAGACCTAAAAACCAGTCTCCATAACCTTCTGAGCTGACCTCTCTGCCTTGAATTGCAATGGCCCAGCAGATCCCATCAGAAGCCACTGTTTTGATTGGACCTTTTTTGAAGGCACACACTAATGAGACTAAGACAAGTGAGAACTTGTCTGTGGTCATGTAAGATGGCATAGACATGTTTTGTTTGGAAAAGTCCATGCATGTATGAATTGGAACCCTAGTAGCAATATTTTTTTACTTTACCCTCGTGCCAGAGAGAGACTGTCTGGTGGAGGAGGCAATAGTAATAGTTCCAACAAAGAAGAAAAATAAACTGTATTTTTCACAAGTGTCAAGAAAAAAGATCCTTTTCTTTCCCACCAGAAAGAGATTATGGTTTTCATCCCTCCTCATGGACCCAGAATTCTTTGGGTGTCTGTCCTTACCACCAGGCTGGATGTCCATTGCTACCAGCAAGATGGTCAAGGCAAAGCATCGTCTGTCGAGTGTCATCAGTGCCTTGCACAGCTTCATTCTCCTGAAAGCACAGTAGGACCATTAAGAATTGAATTGTGTCCCCACAAAAGATATGGGGCTGATGGTGGGCTGTTGAGTGGGTCTGACTCATAGTGACTCAGTATAGGATTTTCAAGGCTATAAATCTTTATGAGAGCAGAAAACCTTATATTTTTTTCTGCATATCAACTGGTGGTTTTGAATTGCTGACCTTGTAGCTAGCAGCCCAACACATAACCCACTATGCTACCTGGGTTCCTTCCCAAAAGAAATGTTGCCGTTTTAATCTCTGTACCTACGAATGTGACTTTGTTTGGAAATAGGGTTTTTCTTTTGCTACCAGTTAAGTGAAGGAGCTCTGGTGGCATGGCAGTTTCGAGTCAGGATGCTAATCTCGCTGTCAGTAGATTCGAAACTACCAGCAGTTCTGCAGGAGAAAGATAAGGCTTTCTGCTCCCATAAAGATTTTCAGCCTCAGAAACCATTTACAGGGTTGCTATGAGTAGGAACTGACTCCACAGCATACCACCACCACCACTATCAATTAAGTAAGGTTTTACCAGAGCAGGATGGGTCCTAATCTTAATCCCTCTGAGTGGTGTTTTATAGAAAGAGGGAAGACAGACACTGTGTGATAACAGTGCATCTATAAGCAGCAAAGGAACACCGACCATTGCTAGCAGCCACCAGAAACAGAGAAAGGCATGGAAAAATTATTCTCTCAAAGCTCCCCTCTCAAGGCTGAGATTCTGATTTGGATTTCTAGCTCTCAGAATTGTGAGAAAATTTCTGTTTTTCAAAACCACCCACTTTGCGTGTGTGTTTTTTAATTATTTTTTTTAATGGCAATCCTAGCAAACTAAGACAGGGACCCAGTAGATAAGACTTAACGACTATGTCTCTGTTTCAATCACTAAGTGTCCATTGGCTAGAGTCTGGCTTGGTTCTGGCTGGACAGTGAGACAAGAGAGTAAATCAAGTGAAGTATACAAGGTGAAGAGGGAAACGAAATGCTACGTTTTTTCTAAGATGGGTTGCTGGGTCAAAAAACATGAGTATAAGCATTATATATATATTTTTTTTCTACTACTTATTATCAGATTGCTTTCCAAAAAGAATTCTTGATCATGTTTATTTCCTTATGTTCTTTCCAGCCTTTGATATTATCTATCTCTTCCAATCTGATAGATGAAAAATTAGATCTCACTGTTGTTTTATTTTATAATTCCATGACTAGTGAAGTTGAGGATCTTTTCATATTTTTACTGGGCATTAGTATTTCCTCTTCTATGAATTGTCTGTTCATATTTTTTCATGTTTTCTTGTTTGAAATTAATCTTTTAGGAGCTTTCTCTATTTGAGAGATCTTAACCTATCTGCCATTAAAATTTTTTCCTCTCCTAATTTGTTGTTTAGAATATTGACTCTGTTTCTGATGCTTTTTTATCATAAGGAAAAAGAAAACAAAAACCACGTTTATATATAGTTAAATATAACACCTCTCTCTCCCTCTTTTTTTTAAGTCATCTGAGTTGTACTGTTTAAGAATGTTCCCCTTAGGATGAAATTATCATTTTCTTCCAACTTTTTTTTGTTCACGTTTTATATGTTTATCTTCTAATCCTGGCTAAAAAATTACCCATACATCAATAAAACACAAGCCAGACAAAACCAAACCCAAGAAAACACCTGAATTTTCATCAATAGGGAAAGTGGTTGAATAAATGGTGATTCATCTATACAGTAGATTATAATAAATCATTAAAAAGAAAGAGTTAATTCTATAAATATGGACTTGAAGGGATATGTATAATATGCCATTAAGTCAAAACAGACAACTTGTAGTTTTATCTATCTATCTATCTATAAAGTATATTTTTATTTTAAAAGAGTATCTCTAAATGCATTTATATGTTTGATATATGTAAACACTTTTATGTTGTTTCTAAGTGTCATTTAATTGGTTCTGACTTATAACAACTCTGTATAGGGTTTCCAAGGAGCAACTGGTAGGTTTAAACCACCTACCTTGTGGTTAGTAGTCCATGCTTATCCTATAGCGCCACACCAGGATTTATAGTTTATAATATTTTGGGCAGGTAATTACAGGCACAGGGTTCAAAATTCAAAATGTACAGAGGGATATACAGTACAAAGTTTCTTTCCTACTTCCATCCCTCGTGACATAATACCTTTCCTGGAGTCAGTCCATGTTGCCAGATCCTTGTGGAGCCTTCTAGAAATATTCTGTCTCTATAAACAATTTCACATTTTTCCTTGAAAAAAACCCCACAATAAATGACAACACTTAAATGACAACAAATGATATGTTTTATGCTGAAGACCATTCCGTGTTAATATAGAAAGAGGTTTCCCCTTTGAAAATAGCTGCATAGTATCCACCATGTGAATTTATTTACACAGATTCCTTAAAAAGAAATAGTGTGGACATTTACCTCCAATCTTTGCTTTTTCAAGTCATACTGCAATGAATAACTTGTACATACATCAGTTTGTACAATATAAATCTCTGTAAGTGTCATTGTAGGTCCAGGGATATATGCATTTACTTTTTAGAGAAATGTTGTCATCTTGTCCTCCAGAGAGGTTGCACCAACGTGCCTTCTCATCAGCAGTGTAAGAATATCTGTTTCCTTATACTCAGGCCAACAATGTAATGGCAATTTGAGAGGTGAAAATGGTTTCAGTGATGTTTTACAGTTCTCTTATCATGACCGAGTTAATGATAATGAAAAAAATGAACATTGTTTTTCCCTTTCTGTTCATATCCTTTGCTTTTTTTTTTCCCTATTAGGTTGTTGTTGTTGGTATTTTTAGATTGATTTGTAAGAGACCTTTATATGCTCAGAAAATTAAGCTCTTTGTGATAGTTAGGTGCTGTTGTGTCACTTCTGACCCTATGCACAATAGAACAAAACACTGCCCGGTCCTCACAATTGTTACACCTGAGCTCCCTGCTGCTGCTACTGCTCCAATTCATCTCATTGGGGGTCTTCCTTGTTTTCACTGACCTGTCACTTGACCAAGCATGATGTCCTCCTGGTCCCTCTTGATAACATGTCTGAAGTATGAGAGACAAAGTCTCACCATCCTGACTTTTAAGGAGCACTCCAGCTGTACTTCCTACACAGACTGTCGGTTCTCCTGGAAGTCCTTCGTATAACAGTTGAAGTCTTTTTTGTAGTGTTTCATTCAATGTTTGTTATGGTGACTTTTGTTTTGTAGAAATCTTTTAAATTTTATGTTATTAATGAAGTCCTACTTTGAAGTTGTAGGATAAGCACTGGTCCATAGGTCGGTTTGAATCGCAAGGTTGGCAGTTCTAATTTACCAGCTACTCCTGGGAAACCCTGTATAGGGTCGCTTGAGTCGGAACTTACCCGACTGCATTTAACAACAATAACAACAATGTATCAGTCTGCTACTTTCATGGCTTTCAGGTTTTGTGACAAGCATTAAGCCCTTCTCCACCCCAAGACTTAAAAAAATTTTTCATGGTTTCTTTCACTACTTTAATTTGTCTTTTTTTTTTTTTTACATTTGAATTTTTAGTCTGTGTGGAATTTATTTTGGCAGAAGGTGTGAAGTATGGACCTAACTCATTATTTTTTTTTATCTTCCAGTCATTCTAATATTTTTAGTTGCATAAAACTTTTTATCACTGATCTTTTTACCATATATGCAATGTGTATACATATCTATTTGTGGACATTCATTCTATGTATACATGTGCCTGACAAATAGAGTAGATTTACATTCTTAATTCCCAGAAAATTATCATTTAAATTTTATTAATATTATATTTATAATATAGCTAATATTTTCCCATAGATTCATAATGTTTTCATATTTAATTTCTCGCTTTACTCTTCTAGAATTTTATAATTTATTTTTCCATCTGATTTTTATAACAGCTTGTCTGGTCTCTACCCTCCAGACCACCTCACCACCACAAAACAAATCTGATTGGTGTTTTTTTTAAATAATTGGATATTTTAATTAAGAGTCATGATTTTTGTGAAATTGATTCTTTTGATCCAAGAACATGTTGTTTCCTTCCATTTTTTTAGTCTTTGAATTGGTGTATGTGTCTTTCAGCCATGTTTAGAAGTGTTCTTCATAAAGATCTTCTCCAAGTTTTGATTATTTATGAATATTCAATATTTATCATTATTTTAAAGATGTTATCTTTTCCCCAGTGTACCTCTTAACTGTTTGTGTTTTTTTTTTATCTTCATAGCATTCTTCTATCTTTTATATATTTTAGTAAATCTTTTAACTCTTCAATATTCTTCTTATATGAAGGGCTACTTATCACTATGTATTCATTTCATACCCAGCTACTTTCTCTTACTCAATTCTGTCATTGATTTTAATAATTTTTTCAGTTGATTCTCTTGGATGTTCCAGTCATGTAATCACATTATTTGTAAATAATAATAACAATTTTCTATTTTTACATCTATAATTTCTTTCTTCTGTCTAATTGTGTTGGCTAATATCCCCAGAAAATATTAAAAATAGTGATAATGATGAATCCTTGTCTTTTTTCTTGAGTTAAATGGGGGATGCTCCTGTTGTTACCTTCTTAAGTATAATGTTAGCTTTGGAGATGAGATGTATTTTAGTATGTTAAAAGATACACATTTATTTATATTTTTATTGACTTTTAAAATACCAAGAATAAATATTGAATATTTATTATTTTTTTAAACATAAACTAAATTTATCCTATGATTTTTCTTTATTAGATATATCAGTATGGTGATCTATGTTAATAGATTTTCTAAAATTGATGCATCCTAGAAATCCTAAAAATAAAATAAACCCATTTGGTCACAATGAGGGTAAGTAAAAGAGTATTCCTACGCAATCATAGAAACCTTTATTAAACAAAAAATACAAAAATTTAAGCTAACATTTCTCACATATCCTCCATCTAGGTCTATCCACTTTTGAAGTTAGTGTTTCCATCTCTGTAACCCTCCCCCTGAGTC